TGTGTCCTGCCTGTGGCAGGGGGTCAGGCTAGATGATCTCTTCAGGTCCCTCCTGACCCTAGCTACTATGCAACTAAGAGGTGTGCTGTCACGTACAGAGGGGTGCTATGACCTACCTCCTTCAGTACATTTGTGAATCTGAAACCCAAATTTTATGCCAGCCGTAACTGTTTCTTTCTTTTTTACAATCCACCTTGAATTCACAAATAGTTCTATATGACTGAATTTGCATTTTAACTATATATTGTTTGCCAAACAAAACGTGCCCTGCGATAATATTAAATAGAATAAAAAAGAAGGCAAAGAGGCTAGAGAGATGCCTCTGTCTTCCTTATTTATGATAAAATAGGTTCCATTTACAAATTTCAAGTTCACAGAATGATTTGCTCTCCTTCAAACTGAAGTATCATCCATCTAAAAGCATGGTATACTGATTCCATTTCAAATGATAATTTGCATCATCCATTTTGCAGCAATACTTTTTTGTCAGGCTATGCACCATAAAAACTTTCAAAAGCTGAAGCTTAATCCATCCACATAAATACAAAAGTTTATGTTTCTATTACTTTTATTTTTTCCCTTTTTTGCATTCACCTTTGTATATACCCACTTTAGTGTCATTAATATCATAGTGCTTAGGGTCGGAAGGGACCTAAACAGGTCAACAGGTCCGACCCCGTGCCCTGGGCAGGAATGAGTGCTGGGGTCATAACACCCTAGCTAAATATCTATCCAGCTTCCTCTTGAAGACTCCCAAGGTAGAAGAGAGCACCACCTCCCTTGGGAGTCCATTTCAGAGCCTGGCAGCCCTAACCGTAAAGTAATGCCTCCTGATGTCCAGCCTGAACCTTTTCTCTAACAATTTGTGGCCATTATTCCTAGTAACCCCTGATGGTTCCCTGGGGGAACAGAGCCTCACCCAATTTCCGCTGGTCCCCGCCTTGTGAGTTTGTAAATGGCCATCAGATCCCCTCTCAGCCTTCTCTTGTGGAGCCTGAATAGATTCAGGCCCTTTACCCTCTCTTCATAGGGCCTGACCCGCTGCCCGTTGACCATGTTAGTAGCCCTTCTCTGGACCCTCTCAGTGCTAGCCACATCCCTCTTGAAGTGAGGTGCCCAGAACTAGACACAGTACTCCAACTGTGGCCTGACCAGTGTCACGTAGAGGGGAAGGATCACCTCCCTGGACCTGCCTGTGATGCATCTGTAGACTCACGCTACCCAAGGTGTGGTTAGCCTTACTGACCGCTTTCTCTACAATGGTTCCAAGATCCCTTTCTGCCACCATGTTGACAGGAAGGGTGGTCCCTAGTCTATAGGTGTGTTGCGGGTTTAGGGCTGGTTTCCTGAAGCTCCTGGATCCTGGTGGGACCAAATAAAAGTTCACCACCAGAATTGAAATCAAAGCTATGAAAGGGCCATGCATTCCCAACCTCATTAGTTCCACTATTCCCCTCAGCTTGTTGAACTTGCAAAACCTTCGCCATGCCTGAAGTGATATCTGGGGTTTTACAGCCTCAACTATCACCTTGTTATTTTTTTAAAATTAGAAATTGGAAGATGTAAGTGTTTTATGCATGCATACATTCATTGGCAAAAGGTTTGGATGTTGTTAGAACAGTGATATGTTAAAAAATAGTGACCAGCACATGGTATATGCATTTCCATGCAGCATTCTTATACTTGAATTAGTCTGTATTGCTGTATTTATGGCTAAGTACAGACAGTCAAAAAAGGCCAAGACTGAATCTATTAAATCTTCACAGGTTACTCTAAACTGCATGGATTAAATTGGTAAGCAAGTAACAGACATTCACTTTTGATTCTGGAAATGCAGTTGCAGATTTGCAGTGCCCCAGGTCTAAAGTCAGGGGGTGCTAGAGCATGCCTCCCTGCTTAGCTGTAGCAGATAGCGTGGGGCAGGGCTAGTCCCCCAGCCTGCGAGGGAGAGTTTGCGGGGGGAGGGCGGGAGGGTGCAAAGCATCCCAGGATGCTGTGGAACTGTGAATTAACTTGAATCTGGAGGGGATCTGGGACAGAAGTTCAATAAACCAATTTAACGTAAATCAGTTAAGTCTGATATGTCATCCATCCAGGTTTATCTTACTAGTTTCAGCCACTTTGAAAGCAGTGCATATGCACTGAACTTCTGTTGTGTTACGTATTTGAACTGGTTTTTGATCATGTATGCTGGTTTATGTGTAATTTCTGTCCCTAGCCTATATGTTAGCTAAGTTGGCTCTACCTAAAGTGAACTATACAGTATGCCTCCAGAATGTTTGCACAATAGAAATCTGAAGAGCTACTATCTAAAGTACTGTACATATATTTACTCTAACATTTTTCCTGGCTTGACATCTAGATGTAATACTTGTACTTACTTTTTAAGGGCAGTTCTGCAATGTTTCTTTAGTTAATGTTCCTCGGTTTACATTATTTGGAGTTGTATACCACCAGATAGGCAAAGAGGCAGTTTTTAAGGAAAGTTCATTTACTAATAAATTTTTTGTGGATATTGCCTCTGGTATCCTCAACACTTGTACATTTCCCCCTAACCCACAGTTTTTCATTTTCATTCTGTTTCTGGGTTTCCCAGGGGGAATTCTGGCAATTTAAGCCATAATGGAATTTAGCTGAGAGAGAGAATTGCTATCTCTGTGTGTGGAAGTGGGGAGCAAGAAGCTTCTATCTATATCAAGAAATAAGTTGCATTTTTCTGAGGGCAGAAGAAAGCAATGGAGCAGTATCATTAACTTGCATTCAGCAAAAATTGAATTGCAGAGCCAGTTGGCTTGGCAGTAAACAGGATAGTGGGAACTGAACCAGAAATACTTTAGCAGGTTGCAGTAACCTTGGCCATGATGACAAGCATAATGGAAGGGTGCCATAAAATGTCCTAATGTATTCTATTTTGTTTCTTTCTGTTTCTCCCTCAAAGGAAAAAATAACTTGAAGAAGTTACTACAAATCTTTTAAATTATATAACGTAGAGTTTTAAAAGAAAGCAAAATAGAAGAAAAACCCAAGAGACAGGTCTGCAGTTTCCACATAGAGATTAAAAGTGTAATCTAGCACTACTAGAAGGTGTATGTGCTTTGTGCTAGGTTTTTAAATATTCTGTTCTTTTTTTTTTTCAGGTCGAAAGTTTAAAAAGTTTAACAAAGTCAAAGTTGTGAGGACACTAGATGTTGCACTACAACAGTCTTCAGGCCTTCCAGAAGAAAACCAAGCTCTAGCCCAGAGGCTATCCTTTTCTCCCAATCATGATATACAGTTTGTTCCCCCATTGATAAGTGTCCTACAGGGCATTGAGCCAGAAGTTGTCTATGCAGGTTATGACAACACGAAACCTGAAACACCAAGTTCTTTACTGACCAGTCTAAATCAGCTATGTGAGAGGCAACTCCTTTCTGTAGTCAAGTGGTCTAAATCACTACCAGGTAACAATATATTTTATATATACTTTGAATCTTAGGGAAACAAATATATATCATAGGCTAATTGTCAAAAAATATATTGTCTGTGGACTAAAATAAGACTGGGCGCATCTACACAAGACGTTTACTGCAGAGTTGCCTAATTAGCTCTACAGTAAACACCTCAGCGTCTACACATGAAGCACTATTAGGATTGAGTAAACTAACTAACTCTGTCATAGGTTAGTACTTGTAAACACAAGCACTATCCTGCGGTGGAGATTTTTACTTCACAGCAACGTATGTGTAGACGCTGATGGGGCTGGCTGGGGCGTGAGGGTGCTGCAGTGTTGGGGCTGCCTGCTGGCTAGCCTTAAGAACATCTTTGTGCTCCAGCCAGCCCATTTGCACCATGTTGAGCCAGGTTGGAGCAGCCCTGGGACTGGCAGGCTGACCCCCCCAGAACCCGTGCCAGCCAGGAATGCTCCAACCTGGCTCAACACACTGCGGCCCCAGCTGCACGTTCAAACATGCTGTCCAGGAGCAATAAACTGTGGCATTATATGCACAACAATTTATTGCTGTGCATTAATTGCATGTGTATATGTGCCTACAGAAATGTAGGACTTACTTCTTCATTTGTTTATCTTATTTCCTTCTAAATCTTGAATATATCTGTTGATGAGATTTGATATTTACACAGTTGTGGTTGAGAGGTCAACATGAAGATAAACATGCTTGTAAATTTCAGACTAAACTTGAGTTATACAGTCATAGTGATGTAGGGCTGGAAGGGACCTCCAGAGGTCATCTAGTCCAACCCCCTGCCTAAGGCAGGTTCATCCCTACCCAAATCATCCCGTACACCCATAATCTAAACTCTGCATAAGACTACCTTCAGCAGTGACACAACATAGACATAACACCCTAACCTGCCACAGGTAAGGCAGTGGAACCACAGCAGCCAATGTCCTGCTTCTATAAAAGGTTGTCAATATATGCTCAAGAGGTCTTGGTAGCGGGCCATGCCCCCCACTACATAGGAAGGCAAAGACCCCCACAGTCCATACCAATCTGACCATGGGGTAAAACTCCTTCAGTACTCCAAATATGGTGATGTGGAGGGGCAAGACCCTCTAGCCACGAACCTCATACTTTGCTCGTAGCAGAGAATGGGCACACCCCAGTTGAAGTCCCCAGTCTTAGCTGTAGCCAGCACCCTATGCCTCTGAGGAGGCTTACAAACACCGTGAAACAATAGCAGAAAAAGAGGTGTGCAGGGGGTGCAACCAGCAAAGCCCAGAAGTATGGGAAATACTCATGACAGAAAATAGGCATAGCTTTGCCTAGATCATCCCTGGCCAGTGGCTGTCCAAACTCTTCTTGAACACCCACAGTGATGTAGAGTCCATAATTTCGCTAGGCAATGTATTCCACTGCTTCACTGTTCTATCAGCATAGAAGTTTTTCTGGATATCCAGTCTAAATGTACTTTGCTACAACTTCCAGCCATTGGTCTACATCCTCCACTCTATAGTAAGAGAAGAATGGTGCTTTCCCTCTTCTCTTGGCAGCCCTTCAAGTATTTGAAGACTGTTATCATGTCCCCTCTTAAGTGACTTTTCCACAAGCTGAACATGCCTAGCTCCTTCAGCCTCTCCTCATCTAATTTGCCTTCTACGCCTTTGATTATTTTGCCCACCTCTAGACCCTCTCTAACTTCTCCACATCCAGACAAGTGTCACCTGTTTTATATTTGTGTTTTTCATTATCCTGAAGTTTAGCACTTTGCATTTGTCCACATTGAACTTCATCCTGTTAGCTCTAGTCCAACTTTTCTATCTGTTGAGATCTTTCTAAATCACTCTGCATTCTCTAAAATGTTCGCAATCCTTTCCAGTTTTGTGTCATCTGCAAACTTGCTCAAGCTTTCTATACCAGCATCCAAATCATTAACAAACATGTTGAGCATTGGGCCCAGGACAGACACTCCACTCAAAACTTCCATCCATCCTGATGTGGACCTGTTAATAATGACCCTTTGTTCATAGCTTTTGAGCCAGATATCTATTCAGCTTCTAGCAGTTTTATCTCACACATTTCTCCAATTTGTTTTTAAGAAAGTCACATGGGACTTTGTCTAAAGCCTTGCTGAATCTTTATTAGGCATCTGACTACAGATTAATTTTTTTGAGGCATTTTGCATTTGAAGCATTTTAGAAACTCCTTGTGCAGCTACATTGGTCTCTTTCCATTCTTCTTGTGCTTTCATTGTGTCAGGGCAATTTCTTGTTGGGCTTCCAATACTGTGTCCCTTAGAAGCTTCCAGCCTTCCTGGGCATCTGTATTTTCAATCAGTCCTCCAATGATATCATGCCTATTAGCTCCTTGAGTCAAATGAAATCCACCGTTTTGAAATCTAGCATCTTAATTTTGCTGACCTCATGCTTTCTCTGTCTGAGGATCTGGAATTCTCATGTGTTGTGATCATTTCTTCCCAAGTTACCCACATTCTCAACTAGTTCTTCCCTGTTGGTCAGGACAAGATCCAAGATAGATGATAAATAGATTAGTTGACTCACTGATTTTTCACCATTCTTCCCTTTCTTTATTTTAAACAAATATGTAGAGCACCTGAAATCTTTTATACACTTTTCATCAGTTGCATATCTGGGATTTAAATAGTTACTGTGGTAAAAAGAAAGTGAGTTTCTGTCTATGGAACTGGCTCCATGTACACAAAAATGCCAGTTTTAAAAAAAATGATGTTTAATATGTCAATGTATGATCTAACTATTACATTATAAGCAGGGGTAGATACAGGGGGGATTCAGTGGTGCAGTTATCCACCACCCCCACATTAACAGTATGGATCACCTGCCAGTGGATCTAGTTCCTGACGGCCATAGACACCTGGATCCCCTGCAGAGTCCAAGGTGTGGCTAGAGCCCCAGGCTGGCTAGGGATATTTGGGAGGCCAAATAGAGAGGTGAGAAAGTGGAGAACTGCCCACCACTGCCACTGTCCCTAGCAGACCATGGGTGGGGAATGTCCCATGACTGCTCCCACCCCAATCCAGCTGAAGGCTGTTAGGAGCAGCTGCATGGGGTCCTGGGCTTGTTGGCAGTGGGTGGGTCCCTGCTTCTAGTCCCCTCTGTCAGGTTTCTGCCACCAGTCAGGGGGCTTCAGCTATGGAAAATGGCTATGCAGGATGCCAGTCTGGGATGGAGATGACAGTGGCAGAAAATGGTCCACCCTTCAATTGCCTGTTCTTGGCCAATGGGGACCTGGGAGCAAGGCCAGGAGCTAGAAGGAGAAACCTGTCTGCTACCATTGCTGTCCATGGGTAAGGCTGGCACCTTGTGTAGTGGCTCAGTTCAGGCCTGATTTGGTGTGGGGCAGGAGCAGCCCTAGGGCTTCCTCATCCCTGGGTTAACCCATGGCAGTAGCACCAGTGGGCAGGACTCTCCCTTCTTACACCCATGGGAAACACCTGCAGGAGAGAGGGAGTGGGGATTGAGAGTGCAGGTGGTGCCCAAAGCAAAGTTAGGGGCAGGAGAATTGTATCTGCTTTGAGGGCTCAAAAAAAATCTCTAACAGCTACTGCTGCATTGTGGTATGACAATGGGTGGGGTGGGGGGATGGGGAAGGGTGGGGAGTACAGACACCCGTGCAGCAGCAGTTACACTCACCTGATCACTCTGGATCCTGGATCCACCCATGATTATAACCAACTTCAAATCAAATCTGCCCCTCACCCAGTTTTTCCTACACACCCCAAAATATACCATTTTAAAAACATCTAAAGTATAAGCAACTCTTCTGGTTTTATAAACACAGGTCATTTAAGCCCTGGTTCAAGACTTTTTTTGAATTCCCACGTTTTCTATTGGCTCCAGAGGACTTTGGATGAGCCCCATAGAGAATCATTTTTTCAGCCTTAAATAACATATGTATGAAAAATACTTTAAACCAGCAATATTCTTAGATGTTATAGATCTGCAACATTAATGATAATGATAATAAGCAAAGTAGGGATTTGCTTATCGTGAGTTTAATAAAGAACACATGTCAAGAAAAATGTTTATATAATTGCAATTAATATCTATTTTCACTTATATGTTAGAATGATAAAAGAAGTTGTTTTCTGTTTGGGGAGAGCAGATCATGAAGGAAGAGTAGCACTGTTAGTGGAACACAGTGGGCCTGAGATAGAAGAACCAGTCAGAGCTGTCATAGTGGTACTTATCTCATAATTTTTTGTAAGAATTAAAAAATGGTTGGAACCTACAATGTGTACTATCTTGTTCAGGTAAGCCAAGTCTACATGTAAGCCTGCCCAGTATTTTCGTTGTAAATTTTAGGGAAAACATTTTTTCCCCCAAATATAATTCAGTAATTAAAAAAAATCCTTAAACTATTATTATCCTTACATAATATCACAGCAAGTTAAGGAAGTATGTGTTGGGTGAATGGACTATAAGGTAGATAGAAAGCTGGCAGGATTGTCAGGCTCAACACTTAGTGATCAATGGCTCAATGTCTAGTGGGCAGCTGGTATCAAGCCGAGTGCTGGTTTTGTTCAATATCCTCATTAACAGTCTGGAAGATGGAATGGAGTGCACCCTCAGCAAGTTTGTGGATGACACCAAGCTGGGGGGTGTAGTAGACATGCTGGCAGGTAGGGCTAGGATTCAGAGTGATCTAGACAAATTGAAGGATTGGGCCAAAAGCAATCTCATGAAGTTCAGCAAGGACAAGTGCAGAGTCCTGCACTTAGGACTGAAAAATCCCATGCACTGCTACAAGCTTGGGGCCAACTGGCTAAGCAGCATAGGTCCTGGGGTTTACAGCGGACAATAAGCTGAATATGAGTCAGCAGTGTGCCCATGTTGGCAAGAAGACTAACAGCATACTGGGCTTCATTAGTTGGAGCATTGCCAACAAACGGATGGAAGTTATTATTCCCCTCTATTCTGCACTGGTCAAGACACACCTGAAATACTATGTCCAATTTTGCCCCC